AGCCCAAGAAAATAAAGTCTGTCACTGTTTCCCTATGTATTTGGTGACTTAGGAGACTGTATTAAAGAAATGTCTTTACTGTTTTAAAATTGATTTCCTTAAGGATTAATCTAGATTGGACTTAACTCTCTTGTATTAATTGTGCTTTAGCTCTTTTGGGGGAAACCCTTAAACTAGCCTTAGGTATACTAAGACAAAGATTTTAGAAGTTTTTTGCAAGATTATATTTTACAACTATTGCTTAAGTAATATCACGGCTCATATTGCATGCCTTTTATTACAGTAAAATCCATGTTCTCTTCTATTCCTTTCTTCCCCACATTGTTTTGAAGGGTATTTTTTTTTTATTAATTTTTGGCTGCGCCTGGAGTCTGTTGCCTTTGTGCAGGCTTTCTCTAGTGTGGTAGGCTTTCATTATAGTGGCTTCTCTTGCTGTGGAGCACAGGCTCTAGGGGCATGGGCTTCAGTAGTTGTGGCGCTTGGGCTTAGTTGCTCTGAAGCACGTGGAATCTTCCTGGATCAGGGGTCAAACCCATGTTCTCTGCATTGGCAGGCAGATCCTTACCCACTGTACCACCAGGGAAGTCGGAAAGATGTATTTTTTGTTTTTAAAGGTATGTTTAAGAGTAAGTTATCAACATACTAATTAAAAAACCATTTGCCAAAAGTTCTGGGAAATGAAAACGGATACAGGCTTTTAATCTACAGTTGTTTTGTGTTCATGTGTGTCTTTTTCCAAATGGTGGGTCAATCTAATAAATGTTTGTTGTGTATTTTCCATTGATCTCTACAGGCTTTTTCAATACTGTTGAGTTCCTTTGAAGTAAGGCATTGTGAATTATTTATCTTTTTATTTCTGGTGCCTAGCACATGCCTGGCACATGGTAGATAAGCAGTAAATGTTTGTAGACTTAAACTGTTCAAAATTGATTTTGGAGTCAGAAGACCTGTTATTATTCTAGCTCTCTCATTCACTAGCTTTAACCTTAAGCAAGTTACTTTGGTGCACTAGATCTCCATTTCCACAACTCTAGAGTAAGATTCCATCTGTTTCTAGAAAATCTGATGCCAAGTAAACCATGTAGTAACTTATTGCTTATTTGTATTGATTGCATAATAAAATCTATTTGCAGACTTACCTAATTAGTAATGGATTAGATTGGTTTGCAAAGTATATCTCAATTGATGATACTGGCATATTGTTGCTTCTTAGTATACAAAGGCAACTTATATTTCATTTCCAAATATATTCTCTCTCTAGTATTCCTTGTACTTTGACCATTTTTTTTCTTACTGAATGAGAATAAATTAAAGATGGAAGAAATTACCTAGAAATTTAATCAATTCCCTAATTTTATAGATGAGAAAACTGATGTTTTGGAAGGTTATACTATTTGTCTAAAGCTGTTTAATGGCAGAGTTAGAACCCAGGTCATATGATTTACACTTGAGTGATTTTTCCATATCAGGTATCTCCAGGCATTACTAGCAGTTTCTTGAGATAAAGATTGAAGAAGAAATTATCAAAATAGCTAAATTTAGTGGGCACATGGAAAAAAATACTTTTTTCTTATTCTCAAATGGTTATTCTGGGGGAACTACTTTTGTGCCTCATTTCCTGAGAAGTACAATAAGGAAAGTAGGAAAACAAAAATTGTTTAAGTTAGGTATATAAAAGCATTTAGTTATGGATCCTTTCTTTTTCCTGAGAAATGAGGATGGAGAGAGGAAAGAAGAATGGCATAATTGAATTATGCCTTGTTATTCTACTATGATGTTTTTCTTTGCCTTTTTGGTAAATCCAGGGAGCCTTCACCTTTTCAATAACAGCACAGTTGATAGAAACAGACATTACTGTTCAGGTTGAATAAAGGGATAACCACTGTTCTTTCACTGTCAAAATCCTTAACCCCAATTCTAGTTGCTTTCCACCCATTTTTCCTCCAGCCTTACTATAGGTATCACATTTTTTGTAAGAGCACAGAGAAGAATTTCATGGAGTTTGGAGGACATTTTGGGATCAGGGGATATCCCCTACAAGGGGTGACACTTGAGATTTTAAAGAAGGACTAAAAGCCAGATTAAAGGCAGTTTAGGGACATCTAGATAGGCTACAGCATGAGACAAAGCATGAAAGGAAGAAACAGCAGAAAGTGAAGTACAAATATGTTTATGTTTTAGAGAGCTTAAAATGTGACGCAGGAATGATAGGAGGTGAAGCTGGAGTTTACCTTTAATTCCCCAGGCAGTTCAGTTCAGTCTCTCAGTCGTGTCCGACTCTGCGACCCCATGGACTGCAGCACGCCAGTCACTAGGGAGCTGTCAGTGGATTTTCCTCTTTTTTTTTTTTTGAGGGAAAGATAGAGTCAGATTCTGATTTTAATTAGATTAGTCTAATAGCTTTATACAGAAGGGTTCTGTTAGTTATCTATGTAAGATAACAACTTACTCAAAATACCATAGCTAAAATGACGCACACTATTATCTCTGCCTTGGTTCAGGAACTTGAGCGTGGCTAACTGGGCTTTCCACTCGGGCTCCCTCACACGGTGACAGTCACGGCGTCAGCCAGGGCTGTGGTCACTCTAATGCTCGTCGGGGGAGGATCTACTTCCAGTCTCACTGAAGTGCTTGTTGATAGTGTTGAGTTTCTTGGGGGCTCTTGGCCTGAGGGTCTCGTTTCCTCTCCAGAAGCATCTTTCAGCCCCCTTGCCTTGGGCCTCTGCCTAGGGCAGCTCACAGTGTGGCAGCTTTGAACACATGAGAGAGCAAGAGAGGAGGGTGGAAAAGATGGAAGCCAGAGTCTTTTACCTTAGAAGCATCACTTTTGCCATGCTTGATGCATTAGGAGCAAGTCACTGGATCCAGACCACACTCAAGGGGAGGGGATGACACAAGAGCCCGCACAGTACGGAGGCAGGGGTCGCTGGAATCCATCTTTGAAGCTGCCTGTCACAATGGACTTAAGAAAATAAGACTAGAGGCAAAGGGACCACTTAGGAGGCTATTTGAGAATCCAAGTGAAATGATACGGAGGTTATTGTAGACGTATGTAATAGAATGAAGGAGTGGGGTGAAGGCAAGAAATGCTTAGCAGGTTAAGTCATGAGAACTTGGTGATTTAGAACATGAAGGTTTTAAGGGAGAAGAAGCAATTAAAGGTGGCATTTAATTGTTTTTGGCTAGCAAATCACTATCTGACCGAAGAATATTTTCACTTGAATGTGTCTTCAACTCCTGTCCATGTTGAGCTTTTATATGCATTCCTGCTATTATCTCCACACTTTTAGTTTTTTAACTTGCCCTTGGTGTTGCTTCCCTGGACTCCACTTTCTCAGTATCTCAATATCTCTCAGTGTCTGTTTAATTTTCCTATTTGTCTCTGTTCCTACTTTTACCCTTACCCAGCTACTTATCTCTGTACACAAAGTGTGGGAACAATTTCTTAATTTCTTCTCTGAGGCCTTTCCTTTCTTTAATCTAGATTCTAAAGCATCTAATAGCTAGATACATTTACCTTTCATTTAACCAACAGGGATTGGGGGCCCACTTTGTGACCAGCACTTTACTGGGCCTCCTTGGGAATATAATAGCAAGACAAGCATTGTCCCTGTTCCTTTGATCATTAATATCCTCTCTTCCCTTTCTTTCTGTCAAAAATAACACTAATCCTTTAAGTTATCCACTTCACCTTCTACCTTCCTTAAAACGTGTATGTTTTATTTTGTTTTCTCTTTATCTCCTATAGTTTTGGGGTTTCTGGGGTTTCCCAAGTGGCTCAGTTGTAAAGAGTCCACCTGCCAACACAGGAGACCCCAGTTTGATCCCTGGGTCGGGAAGCTCCCATGGAGGAGGAAATGGCTACTCACTCTAGTGTTCTTGCCTGGAGAATTCCATGCACAGAGGAGCCTGGCGGACTACAGTCCATGGAGTTGCAAAGAGTTGAACAACACTGAGCATGCACACATACCTTTAGCTATAATCAGGAGGGGCTTTACTCTAGAAACATTGAAATTCTATAAATTTAAAACAAAGCACTGGCTTCAACTATTAAGCACAATGAAGCTATTCCTGACCTTGCCTTTCAGTCAGCATCAAGCATTAGAGCAGTGAGTATCTGTTCACTCCAGTGACTTACTGGACTGCCCCTGGAGGGCTTTCTAAAAATATTGATACTTCACCTTTTCCTCAGAGATTCTCATTCAGTTTGTTAGGAATGAAAACAAACCACACTCTTAAGGTGAATTTGATGTGTAGCTAGTTTAGAAAACTGTTGCATTAGAGTCACCCTCACTATTATTACCTTTAGCCATCTAAATAGCCTAAAGCTATAATTTCCAAATACCAGTTACAGACTAATTACATCAATTCATACAGACTTTTGGGCCCTATCACTAGAGGTGCTGATTCTTCCCTAGATCTGTGGTAATATCCAGGCTTCTATTTTTTTTTAATAATCAAAGAAGATTGATACATAATTGGGTTGGAAAAACATTTGATGAATTAACCTAATATACTGTATTAATTTTTTTTTTGTATTTTCCTTAACAGAACTGTTTAGATAAATGCATGTCAATGTTTAATAAATGTTAAGGACCAGTTAGCCATGATATGCTTTATAGATTATCTTTGACGATTCTAGCCATTTGAAGTCATGTTTTAAATGGCAGTTGAATGACTGCTGTGTTTAGATTTTTAGATGCTCCAGTACTATTCAGTAGTATAATATTAGTATTATACTAATATTGCATGCACTGAAATATTTCATTTAACTCTTTTTTCATACACTGATATATTTCATTTAACTCTTCTACTTTTACTTTAAATAATAACTTTTTTGTCCCATGAAAAATTCGGAACAGTGACTGGATTCTTTTTCCTCATATTTTTCTGGTAAATCTTTATTATATTCTACTGCCAGGAGGTATATTATTACTTTCTTGCAGGATGGGATGGTCAGAATGTGGCTCTAATAAGTTTGTTGTCTTCCTTTTCTATAGTGTTATTCCTCTCTTAAGAGAGTCTGTTGGAATATTAATGCAGAGAACTCCTCCGCTTTTGGAAAATACTTTACCTCAGTGCTATCAGAGGGTAAGTTTCAATGCTTCCAAACCATTGGGTTTTAGTTGTTTCCAAGTTGTTGGGGGTTTCAACTTTTATAAATATGGGTAGCATGTGTATATAATTTAGTATTTCTTCCAAGATTAAAAGCTGACCATGAATGCCACTTAAACCAGAATAAAATCATTGGAAAATATTGAGCTTCACTAAAGAAATGTGGTAGAAATTGTCCTCATCTAGTCTAGAAATCCAGCAGCTCTTTTAAAATATAAATATGAATAGCAGATGGTATAAGCATTTCTTCAAGATGTATTTTGTAAGCCCCCCATCTTTTATGCCATATATTCTTCTAAGGTCCTAGGGGTGTAATGGTAAACAAGATAGAGTCTATCAAAGTATTTATGGTCTGGCGGGGAAGCACAGGCACTCAACAAGAAATAAATAAGGAAATATCAGTGATGATTACTCTAATAGAAATGAAACAAAGTGAGGTGGCAGACATGGATGGCTACATCAGATTTATTGAGGATGTCATATTCAAGGAAGCTGAAGTCTTGTTGATTAGAAGGAACCAGACTTATGAAAATCTTGGAGAAGAGTGTTCCAAGCAAAGGAAAATGCTAATGCAATAAGTTCTATGGCTGGAACTAATTTAGTGTATTTGAAAAACAGTGAGGAAAAGCCATTGTGGCTGAAGCATAATAGATAAAGAGAAGAGTCACTGGAAAGGCTGGAGAGAATGGCAGGGGACAGATCGTTCAGAAGTGTTGGTCTTACTAAGAGGTTTAGATTTAATTCTGATTCTGTGGGAAGCATTAGAAAGCTTTTATGCAGGGAGAGTGTCACAAAACTTAAATTTTAAATGCTTATTCTGCTTGCTATTAGAGAATAAACTCTAGGAAGAATGAAAGCAAAGAAGACCAGTTAAGAAGCTGTTATTTAATTTGAGAAGTTATGGCTTGGACTACAGTGGTAGCAATGACAGTGGAGCTAAGTAGATATTTTGGAAAAGTTTTTAGAGATAGATTATATTAGCAGAGGGGAGAGAAAGCGTTGAATTGCAACTAGCTAGATCCTCATACTATTTGTTGAGGTTGATGCAGGTGTGAGGGTGGAAAATCCTCCCATATCAAGAGTTCTATTCTGGATATGTTAAGACTGAAATGCCTACTATACTTCTAAGCGAAATGTCACTGAAGTGCTGGGATGTGCAAATCTGGAATTTTAGGGACTGATTTGAACTAGGAGGAGTTTTGATTCATCAACTTATAAATAGCCTTTAAAACATTAGGATTGTGTGAGATTACCATGGGAGGATTCAGCTCTATTCTTTAGCTCAAGTTTCAACTCCAGATTTAGTGCATAGGTAGAAAGGGAGCTGGAAAACCCAGAAGTTGAAGAAGGAGGAAGTAATCAACTGTGCCAAATATTTCTGTGAGTCAATTGTAATGGAAACAAAGAAGTGACCATTGATTGGCATCATGAATGGCATTAATGGCCTTGATAAAAACATTTTCAGTAGATTTGGTGAAAGCTTGATATAGTAGATTAGGGTGGAAATGAATGGGGGAAGCAGAGATAGTGGTTACAGTCAATTCTTTTAAGAAGTGTTGTTAAAGGGAGTAGAGAAACGAGCTGAAAGCTTGGCTATGGATATAGTAAGAAGGGGGAAGGAATTTGTTAAAACAGCATCCCATAGAGCATTCCCCAGTAATGGAGATGTTCAAAATCTACCTTGTCCAGTTTGGAAGTCACAAGGAACCTGTGGCTGTTGAGCATTTGAAGCTTAATAATTTTGAGCTAGTGCAACTAATTCTTTAATTTCACTACATTTTCATGTATTTAGTCACATGTGTTGGTGACTTCTGTATTGCACAGTGCAGTTTGGGAGCATGTGTGTTGCTAACGGGAACATGTCAACTGAGAGGAAGACATTGATGATATGGTAGTGAGGCAAGTTAATTTAATGAAGGAATGAAGTTCTTGAGAAGGTGAGAAGGGATAGGATCCAAAGCATTATGGAGGAATTAATTGTAGATAGGAGCCAGGGGTACTATATCCTGCAAGGGAAGGCAGAGAATGCTGAAATAGACGGGGGTTGACTGGTAGATTTGGTGGGTCAGAAGAGCTTCTCTGTGTGCTTCTGTTTTCTCTTTGACCTACAGAGCAGTGTAATCATACAGAGAAATGAGAAGACCAGAGGCAAAAAGAGAAGGTGTAGAATAGTTGTTTTTCAGATAGGGAAAGTGAAATGCTGCCCATTTGACTTTTGTGGTTTTATGATTTTAAGGGAGGACCAGTCAGCATAATTGTGGAAGAGAAAGGGGCAATTTAGTGAATGCCTACTCTAAGCTGGCCCCTATACTAAGTGATGTACATATATTGTTTCTGTTCTTCAAATTAACCATACAGGCTGTTTCCTATTCCTTTCCCTAGGAAATCTGAGTAAAATTGAGGCTCGGAAGATTTAAATAACTCATCTAAGGTCACAGATGGTAGCGGCTGAATCAGAATTCTAATCCATATAATTCTGGCTTTAGAAGCTCCTACTCTTTTTGTTGTACCACACTGTCAGAGCAAGAAGAGCAACATAGACTTTCATCTGTAACTTCACTTTCTGCACATTTTTAATTTGAGGAAAGTTAATGCCAGTTTCTATAAGAGCCATTCCTTAACTTATGCTTTAGAATAACTGCAAGAATGTACTTGCACTGCTGTTTCAACGGAGGTAGAAGAAATCTCTTCAGTCACCGTGTTGTTTCACTAGCAGTACACCATTCATGAGGATAGTCTTTAGAAAAATGTGGAGGATATCAGCCTCAAACCCTCTGTCTTCAGAGACCTGAAAGAGGAAGAGAAAGTCCATCTTGCCCTGTTTCCCCAGTAAAAGCAGTTTTTTTGTTTTTTTAAATGGGCACAATGGGTATTGTCTCAGTTTCCTACCAGGAGTCTTGGAGCTCATAGAAGGTAATCCTACATGCATCAGATTCTGATAAAAATAAATATTTTGATAAAAAGTTCAACCTTTTCTTAGTTAACATCCCAAATAGATTACTTAAGAATCAGAGAATCTCAGAATTTGAAAAGATCTTATTATTCACTTGGTCCAGACTTCTATCTGTTGCAAGAATCTCCTCTGCAACATTTAGTTGGTCATCCAGCTTCTTGACCATTTCCAGGAACCAGTGTTTAATCTCTTCACAGAGTAACCTCTTTCTCTTTTAAGTTGATCTAATTGTTATAAAGATCTTTTTACATTGAGCCTCTTTTAACTTCTGAGTTCTGATCTTAGTTCATCTCTTCCAGCTCTACTATCTACAGAGATACTGAACAATAGCAGTAGCTGGGTATCTTTGTAAAGATTTTCCTGTCTTCAGTGGAATACATCTAATGTTTTTTTTCTTAAGTGTTTTCTATACATTTTTGGTAGATAGCTTTTAGTAAATTAAGGAAGTGTCCTTCTAAGCATAAATAGGGGTTGAATTTTATTAAGTAATTGCAGTTCTTTTATTAAAATGATTGATTTTTCTCCTTTGCTTCATTAATTGAAGAGTAACAGTAATAGAATTTCTGATATTTATTGTTTCCTTCTTGGGATAAACCTAACTTAGTCATGATACCTTAGTTTTTTTGCTATACTGTTGGATTTAGCTTACTTAATTCATAAGAGAATTCAGCTTATATGTTACTGTCTTTTATCTGGTTGGGGATCAAGATTATTTTTACCTATATGAGATAGCACCTCTTTTTTATTTTCTGGCAAATCTAGGAGTTAAGTTACTTGAAAGTTTTCTCTCTGGGACTTGGCAGGGTTAGGGGAGCTTTATGAAAGAGAACTTTTATTACCTTTTCAGTTTTTAATGGTCCTTTCATATTTTCTGGGTTTTTTTTTTTTTCCTTTATATTACGGAATTTTCTGTATTTTCTGAAATAATTTCCCCAAATTTATTCATTTCTGTCTATTTTTTTCAAATTGTGTTTTTTGTTGTTTTTCTGATTTTATTATTTATTTATTTTTTCCAGCTTTACTGAGGTAAAATTGATAAATTAAAATTGTATATATTTAAAGTGTACAATTTGATGTTTTGATATACATGGACATTGTGAAATGACCACCACAAAAATAGGGAACACTTCACAAATTTGCATGTCATTCTTGCACAAGGGCCAAGTTAATTTTCTCTGTATCATTCTAATTTTAGTATATGTGCTGCCAAAGCAAACACAAAATTGAGCGTGTATTCATTTTATATACATACATATACTGTTTACTGAGCCCTTACTTGCAGGCCAGGCTTAGATGCTTAGAGTTTTAGGTGTTCAGGATATAACCATGAAACTCAAAAATAAATCCCTGCTCTTATTGAGCTTGAGTTCTGTCAGAGTAGACAGGAAATAAACAATTTAGATAACATAAGTAATGTGGCATGTGTCATTAGCTGCTGAAAAGTAAAACAAAGCAGAGAAATGTAAAAATGAAAACGTTGTTTTAGCTAGGATAACAGTGGAAAGGCTTCCTGAGAAGTTGGTGTTTGAGTAAGGGCCCACGTAAAGCAGAGCAGTCATTATTGTGAAAGGAGGCACACTCCAAGCAGAGGGAGTCACAAACGCCCTGAGACAGGCGTGTTTCAGACTCTTCAGAGTGGTGAGGATGCTGCTACAGCTGGGGAAGAGGAAGCAAGGGCAGGGGGAGGAGATGACCTAAGAGTGGTAAATAACAAGCGGCCACATCACATGGGTCCCTGAGTTATTGTGGAAGCACTGGTTTGGGTTCAGAGTAAGATGGGAATCTACTAAGGATTTTGAGCAGAATGAAAGCATCTGATTTAAAGCAACAGAACCTCACTTGGGCTCCTATTTTGAGACTAGATGAAGAGGTTCAAGGCTAGCAATAGGGAGACCACTTACTTAATCAAACTAGAGTGGCTTTAACTGGACTGATAGCAGTAGAGATGGTGAAAAGTATTAGGATTCTACTTGGTTGTAATATTGTATACTCATATGTTGATACATTCATATATTATGGTGTTCCCTTTTATGGTTTCTTAAATCTGTTATTGGTAGTTGTTTTCCTTTTTCATTTTGTCCTTTGTTTAGTTACATATTTATTTTATTTTTTTAACTCCATCAGTTTGTCTTGTCACTGGTTCTCAACCTCAGGGTGAGGAACACGTAGGGAGCCATTGAAAAGACTTAGAGCCATCCCTCCCGTTTTTAGTTGTCACGTGAGTTGGGGAAGGGTATATGTTGGCATTTAGTTTCCTGGGTCCTGGGAGTGCAAAGATCCTGTCGTTTCTGACAGTTGTACACAGTGAAGACTCATCCTGTCTAAAATATGCCCCCACTGTGTATAAAACACTGACTCTAGCTCATTGATTTTTTTCAAAGAAGTAGTGTTTTGACATTGAGAATTCCATCATTTCCACATTTCTGCTTCCCATACTTTATTTCTTTTCTGTTTATTTCTTAAGTTGACTTTGTTGTTCTTATCCTAATTTGTTAGCTCATTTGTATTTATATTTATCCTCTGATCGATGTATGGTTGACTCTTGAACAACACAGGTTTGAACTGCACGTTCTACTTATATATGGATTTTTTTTCCCCAGTGGTGATTCCACAGTACTATATGATCCATGGTTGGTTGCATCCCCAGATTTTTGACTGAGCGGCAGGCTGGTGTCCCTTCCCCTGCACTGTTCTCCGGTCAGCTGTATTTGAAAATGTAAATTTCCCCTAGGCACTCTCAGCTACACCCTACAAAGTTTGATATGTGTTCATTTATATTTCCTGAACACCTGTCATAGTACCAGCGTATAGTAAGTACTCAGTAGGTGTTTGTTAATCAGTTTGAACCCACCCCACCAGCCCACGTTCTTCCTTAGAGGGTACACTCCATGTTTACTGATGTGTTGTGTAATGATTTTAGTTGCATCCACTTATATTTGATTTCACGTTAATATCTGCTCTTCATATTTTAGGTGCAGCAGTTGCAAGGAGTTTACAGTTTACAAGAACAGCATTTTTGGACCTTATGTTCTGATGTTTATGTTGGGACCTTGAAATTAGTAGTAGCGCCTGATGCTGATGCCAGGTGGATCTTAAGCCAAACGCATAACATTTTTACTCAGGTATGATATTTTTACTAACCTCTTTCAAGGGTCTAGGAATTTATTGTATCTACTAGTTTTAAAAATATTTACTATTTAACATATTAAATATATATATATATATTCTATACCATGAGGTATATATAAAAGATTTTTTCAATCACAGAGTCAAATTTGGGAGATCTTTGCTTTTGTGAATACTCTTAATGAAGATAGTCCTGTTTATTCGTCATTGAGCTGATTTGAGCTCCTTATGAAAAACTAGATTCTCCCTTACTGACACTCCTTATAAGACATGTTATATGCTGTTTGAAGCTAGGAATTCTAAGATAGTATTTGGAATAAGAATAATGCCTGGTCAGTCACTTTAACTTAAAGCAAACTCTCTTAACATTTTTGTCGATAGCAAAGCCACCGCTCCTTCTTTGTGATTTAATGACTTAAGATGCTCTTGAGTTTTTCTTAATTCTGTATATGGAATCATGAATTAGTCAGTTCATGGCTGCAACCAAATTATATCAGGTAATGTTTATGCCATCATGAGTTGACATAGTGACTGATAAACTAAAAGTGATTACTAGGTTATTCTGAACCTACTGGGAAAATAAGAACATCATGTCAAGAATATCTGACGAGAGAGAGACCACAGATTTTTTTTTTGGAGGGGGGTGGTTCTGGTTTGCTGGAAATATTTGGCAGAAAATGTAGATGTTGACACTGCTGTCAAATTTATCTAACACATAAATCTAATGTGGAAACTGGTTCCATGCCATAAAAATCTGTGCTTAAAAACTGACCCAGGCCTCCTAATGTGATGCGGTGGGAAGTATACCTGACCTGTGTAGTACTCTTGCCAGAAATGATTAATGTAAATCCAGTCACTAATAAACAACCAGACAAACCCAGCTTGTGGCCTGTCACCCTGGACTCTTAAAAAAGTGTCATGAAAGGAATAAATGGAACAATAGTGGCTTTTTCTAAATTAGAGGAGACTTCACAATTAAATGCAGTGTGTGGTGCCTGATTGGACCTTAAACCGGGGAGAAACATCACAAAGGAAATTTCTGGGTAATCAGGAAATTGAAATATGGATGCATAATAGTTCACATAATTGTGTAGGTGTTAAACTTCTTGGGTATGATACAGTACTGTGGCTATAGAATAAAACTCATGTTCTTAGGATTTACATGCCAAAGGATTTAGTGGCAGAGCATCAGGATGTCTAACTTTCCAATGCTTCAGCAAGAGTGGAAAGGATTACAAATAAATACACATACAGAAAAAAAAAGCAAATATGGCAAAATGTTAGCAATTGGTTTATATAGGTGATGGGTAGATAGGTATTTATTGCGCTATTCTTTTTGTCTTTAAGTCTCTTTCAAACTAAAAAGTTCAAAAATAAAACTTCGGTGGCTCCTCATTACCACCAGGATAAAGCCCAAACTTTCTAGCATGACCCAGTTTACTTTTCAAGCCTCTCTCCTGCTATTCACTGCCATGTACTTCATACTCCAGCCCCACTAGACTCTACTTATCTGTGTGAGACAAAAATCCTACTCTAATGTGAAGGTCCGATTCAATTGTTACTTTCTCTCTAAGCCTTAAAGACCCTTCTAAGCCTCATATACAAATGAGAGAAAGAGAGAGGGACAGATGGACAGTTTAAATTCAGGACCTTAGCATAAATTAAATGATCTCTCTTGTCTAATAAAAGAGAGATGTATGGTTATGTTCCTTTGGAATAATTAATGAAATGGTCCTATAACGTAGGCAACAGCAAGACTTACTCTACTGCAAAACAATATACTAGTACCATTTATTTATCCTAGACTTTTAAGAACCAAGTCTTTTCTTAGCAGGTGCTGTAAGAAATCTATACTATTGTGAGTTTCATAATGCAGCATGTAAAGACCTTCACAGTAAGTCAGAATCCTTCTCACATCTCCTCCCTTTTTCAGCGGCAAAAAGGAGAGCATGGCTAGCCTTCAGTAGCTTTTAACAACCTTGCTTTCCACTGCCATTTCTAGATCATGATTCTTTCCTTCAGTCTATCGATTTTCTCCTAGTTATACCATGTCCTTCCACCCTCACAGCATGAGTGTCTGTCCAGCTCTAGAATACCTCATGCTGTCCTAAAACTTTGGCACTTAAGTCACAGTTCTCTCTCTGAGAAAGGAGTGCGATTTACAGGTTTAGAAATGCACAAGCAGTGGTGTCTGGGCTAAGAACTGCTGAAGTTGTCATTGAAGTATGTGGAGGGAGGTTCTTCTGGTAACCGTAGAAATCTTGGCTTTGAAAATGGCTGAAATTGAGTTTACTCAGCTGCTTCTTTGGTTTTGGAAGCTGTGTTTGGGTTTTGAAAATTTTCAGCTCTAAAACATATTTATGCCTTTTTATCAGCTAAGGTCAAAGCAGCTTGATTTCATTGCTTGCAGAGACCAGGGACTGTCTTAGGCTTGCAGTGAAAATGGTTCAACACATTTTTCCCAGTGAGGAGAGTGAAGTCACCCTGCTCGTAACTTTCATTCCACACATTTAATGATTGTAAGTTGATGTGTGATAATTATTTTGGTTCTGAAATATGTGAAATTGAAGGATTTTTAAAAAATTATTTTCCTTTTCTGCTTATGCCCTCATCACACATATTCATTATGCTATGAGTATATCCTAGGGCTTGCAGTAACATTTTCAATTCTTGAATTGAAATTTAAGTTTTTTACATTTTTAAAAAATTTGAATTATATCTTAATCATAGATTTTACTTACCAAAAGTAATAAAACTCAGATTGCTTCATTTTTTAGAAAAAAATTACACTAATGCTTTAAGTACTTTTCTTGTAGAAAGACTTTAAATACTGGTGGCCTTAGGTCCAAAAGACCAAAAAAAGAATTTTCTCAATTACCTGGTGCTTCTATGATATTTTAAAGTGTTTTTCTTAGAGCTGATCTTAAATTGATTAAAAATTTTTTTAAGTTGTTCTTGTTAAAATTTGTATGGAGATAACTTTGAGGTTAACATTAAATTTGAGAACTATAACTTTTTGTTTTATTTATAAATATGTAAGTTTTGTGACTCTTTTGGAACTGTACATTAAGCATGTCTTTTTATTTTCATTTTCCATAGTTATCACTTAATCATGAATGGTTAAGGCAGCTGGGTTGCTGTCACGAATGTAGAATAACACAAGTGAATTGGTAGAAGTCTCTTCAGTATTTATATTTCTTTGGGATTATTAGTTAAGTGATAATCCAGTTTTAAACTACAAGGTTTTTGTTGACATTGAAAAAGTCCATTCTCCTCACTGCATGCACTCACTTTTTAAAAATGATGTATCTTTTGGGAATTGATGAACTAGAAAACATTATTTACATTTAGTATTTGAACAGGATGTGGATGTGGGAAACTGGATGAGGAAAGCAGTTTATCGTTTTATGTTTCTTGTTTTGAACTGGCTGACATTATCTGTTAATTTTTTAGACACACTTTTGTTTAGAAATAATGTTAGAAGAAAAATCTAGAACATGCTTGGGCTCATAACCCTCCTCAGCCCCACAAAGCAGAGAAGACAATTTAGATGAATGCATGTTATTTACTCTTCAGTAGAACTTCTATCTTGATATCTTCCATTTTTCTCTTCTGGCCTGTTTCTGCCTGTTAAGTCCTAACTCCTCAGCTTCTTGCTTCAGCCTTCTGTGCTCTAGGCTCTAGGCCCAAAATAGAAGTGTAACACTGATACCCAGGAGGAACCTGAAGAGCCTCCTCACTAGCCCAGTTGAGAGTTCCCCAAGATTCAGAACCTCCCACCTCTACCACTCTCCTGCATGCATAATCCCTTCAGTGTTTCTGACAGCAGACATCACCCCACCTTGTTGTGTCCTGGGAGGTGAGTAGAAAGGAGGAAAAAGCTATCCAGTCTTCCAGGTGGTGAGCTCTTTTTCCACCCTTTCCTGTTTTGGTGGGGGGCGGTGGTTAATCTTTTGTAAGTGTTGGTTGTTTTTCATTAGTCCACAGGGTTTAAGTGCTCATTTGTTGATGATGGTGGATATAACAACAGCATCAGCAGCTGGCCTTACTGAGAGCCCTCCACATGCCAAGCACTGTGATGGGTGCCTAATGCATCAGTCTATCCTTACGAGACAGGTGGGGTATTAGCCCCAGTTTATAGAAAAAGGAGCCCAGACCCACGTGATTGTTCATGACTTGTAATTTCATCATTTTCAGTCACTATTTCATGAATTCTGAGATGATTTTGTTTTCACATGAGAGACTAAGGCAGTTTTTCAAAAATTCATTTTTATGGGGTAAAGATTAATACTTTCAGTCAAAAACTAAAGTAGAAAGTTTCTATAGTTTTTGAGAATTGGTAGAGAAGTACAATCATTAATTTTCTACAGCCATATTATTTTTCTAAATTTTCTTAGAAGCATGGGTGTTTAAAATAATTGTCTTTCCCATTTTTAAAAGTTTTAACTGATTTTTTTATGGTTTGTACATGATTCTCAGGATATAAGATACAAGTATCCTATGGTTTTCACTTTTTTGAAGGACAGCCCTCAGCAGGCCTCTGAGTGCTAGTGTCATCCCAATAGTAGAATATTTAAGGGAACCAAGCACCGTTTTGATCTCCTGGAGTATTTGTCATGAGAATAAACTATATAGGAAACCTAGTTTGTGTTCAGAAAGTAGGTGACATACTATAGGAGTCTTTGAAAATTTCACTTTTTCTCTCTACTTTGAAGGAAATTTAGAAAGGAAAATAGAAAACTAGAAGACCTAAAGCTGTGCCCATCCAGCCAGATGGGTGAAACACATCACTTTTCTGTTAGACAGAGCTTTTGTATGAAGCAGTGGGCCCTCAGGGGAAAAATACCAGCTTGAGTAATTAACTCATGATTATGCAAATATCGGTTTACCTAGCCTCTTTGTTTTCTCCCCTTTTTTTTTGTTGCTTTGGGCTACCTCATTTCTTATTACCATCTTCACTGTATTTGGGCCAGGATTTAGGAAAGTGGCAGAGATAATAATGGGAGACCAACTTATTTTGTCCATTTAACTTTCATTAACAAGTTTGTTGAAAAGAAATTCAGCCACTTTATTTGGGCAATAAAGAGTTGGATACAACTTGACCACTGAAGAACAACTTGAGGTTAGATATGCAAGAAATTTGCAAAAGGGTTTCCTAAATACAGATATTTTGGGGCCCATCTGGGTTGAGTAAATCAAATATAATCAATCATAATTTGTTTTTTATAGCATGTAAAATCTTTCTCATATGTTCACACATGATCCTTATAGTAGTGCCTATTACGTAACAAGGGTTTATTAAATGTCAAATACTGGATGAATACACAATAGTTTTGTGAGATAGGATTGATATTTATCCACAATTCTAAATGAGAAAAACTGAGATTCTGTTTCAGTTTTTAGCTTAAAATCGTAAGATATTAAGTTCTATCTTTTTTCTGCCACAGACCTCTTTAAGGAGTGCATGCTATTAAATTCATTTTCAGAGAACTTTAACTTTACCACAGCAAGGATTTTCTTTTCCTTTTTAATGAGACAAAGAAGCTAACATGTTTTCTGTGCTGGAAAGGCACTGGGGTCTTATCGGGCTTTTTATTTCATTAGAGCAGCTCCTGCCTCTTTGGGCATTCATAGTGTTGGACAGAGCCCTCCAACTTGAATGCTAGGGGGAAAGAAAGCCATGCTAGAAGCAATGCTTTGAAGAGCCCAGAAATTCCTATGAAAAGGTAGCATTATTATTTTATCCCCCACTCTGGATTTTCCTTTCTTTTAAATGTTCTAATTTACTTTTCATTCTGTGTTACTGACAAAGTGCTTATTGTAACTGATTGTATGCTTTAATGTTTTTCAAATTGTTTATTTGAAAGAAGGAAATTAGTAGAATTTCACTTCATCCAACTGTTAATTACTTACTGTGTGGTGGGCACTACTTGAGGTTCTGGGAGTCAGCAGTGAAAAAATAGACAGTCTTTTTATTTCAGAGAGAGTCCATTATCAATGGAGAGTGACAATAAACAGTATCACAGCAAAGAAGTTTTATGATATATTAGCAAGTGTTACAGATAAGGAGAGCAGAGTAGGGAGACCAGAGATGCTGAGGCATTTACCGTTTCTTGCACCAAGCTTTGTTTTTTTTTTCTTTATGGATGGATAGATACATAGATAGATGATATCTGTCTCATCGTCTCATCTGACATACTATATATACTTGATTTTTTATCATCTCCCCTCCTTCCTAGTTCCCGATAGCTTATAAACTCCATGAGCACAAGGTATTTTATACCTGTTTTGTTGGCTATTGTATTCTCAGGGGATAGAACAGTACCAGGAATTCTAAGAGATGCACAAAACTATTTGTTGGATGAATGAATTGACTGCATTTGATATAGGGTGGTCAGAGTAATCCTCACTGACATCTGAGTAGAGATGTGACAAGAGAGGGAATATGTCACGTGGCAGTCTTGAGGACCATTGTTCCAGGCAGAAGAGCCAGTTGTGGCTGGAACAGAGTGACCAAAGGGAGAAGAGTACAAAATAAAACGAGAGGGAATCGGGGACCAGATCATGGGAGGGCTTTAAAGGCCACTGTAAGGACTCAGACCTAAGGACTAAGGGAGATTAAGCTGTTGTTGGGTTTGAGTGATAGAGTGGCAGCACCGTAGTTGGTCTGCTGGAAACAGACCAAAGCAGTGCAAAGGCAAAAGAGTGAAAACTAGATCACAGGCCGTTACAAAATACAGGTAAGAGAGGATAGAGACTCAGGCCAGGGGATAGCCGTGGAGGTTCCGTAAAGTGATCAGAGCAGTTGCAACATTGAGGGAGGACTTGAGCTGGAGAAGATACCTGATCAGCAGGCTTGAGGGGAGGAGATAGTGATCAGCTTAGCTGTGTCTCGGTGCTTTCAGATGTTCATGAGTAGAACTATCAAGTATGTGGTAGGTAGGTTTCAGCCTACAAAAAGTGTGAGAATGTAGACGGTACTGAAAGTGTGAATATTGGGTAAGACCCTGTAGGGGGAGTATCAAAAAAAAAGGGATCTGAGGATTGAGTCTTTGGGTATTTGAGTGTTCAAAGACAGGAGGCAGAACCCGCAAAGGAGACTGAGAAAGACTGATAAGTGAGGTAAAAGGGCAATCAGTGAGTACTCTGTGGAAGCTAAGAGTGGGAAAAGTGTTTCAGCAGGAGGAACTGATGCCCTGTGTCCTTGATGCTAGACTGGTTACTAAGATGAGGACTGAGAATTGAGCGCTGGTCTGAGCAATTTAGGGAAAGTGGTTGGCCACAAAAGGAACCAAACGGTTTCAAGAGAGAAGAGAGTAAAGGAATTGTAGACAGCAAATATAGAAAATTTGATAACAGAGGAGATGGGGGCAATTTTGAGAGCAGTGTCCTTGAATAGCAAGTTTATATCTAAAATTGAAGGGGTGAGTTGGAGTGTAAAGGAATCAATAACTAATAGATGGTTTTACTTATTTCAGTGTTTACAAATCATTTATCATAGGAAGATTTAGATGGCATTGACTTCTGGTTTTAATAGCCAGCTCATTGATCACTGTGGTGTTCTCTCTAGGAGAATACAGGTAGATGGGTAACCTCATTTTTCCAAAATTCACTTGGGCAAGGCATGTAATTAGTAGCACAGCTTTCTTTTGTAGAGCTATATGGAGAATCTTTTTATTTGTTTTTGTAACTTATTAACATACTTGTTTCTAAAATAAAATTATTGGCACTTTATGATGAAAAATAGAGAATTCTTTCCCAAAGAAGAGAAAAATAATTCTTCCCTTTTTCAAAAAGAAAGAAAATTTTTTTTCCCTACTACTTTTCAGAAATATATAATCTGTTATAGTTTGTTTAATTTTCTCATTTTTTTTTTTTTTTAACTTTTCAGGCCGGAGTGAGACAGCTTTATGTACAGATTGACTTTGCGGCCATGTAATGAGTGAAAAGAAACTCTGCTTTTTGGGGGGACCTAATTTTTCTGGTACTGTACAATCCTAAACATTGTACCTAGCTTTCTGAAAAGAGAAATCGTCACTACAGCTCCCCAGCGCCGAGTAGACCAGGTGGAGTCCGCCGTTTGCGCTCTGCCGGGAGTTTACAGCCAAGCGGTCAGAAGCGAGAGGACCTCTCCTGGACGTCTGGGCTGGTCTTTGTGCTCTTCTCACCAAACCATTTTGATTTCTGAGGTTTCTACTTTGGTTCCAGGGTATTGTTTTCTCGGTGTTGTTTCCTTTTTTTTTTTTTTTTCATTTCAAATGCCCTCACTCCCACCCCTCATCCTAGCCAGTAAGAAATTCAGACTGTGGGTCTCTAATCATCTGGAATGTCTTCACTGAAGCTGCTGGAAACCACTGCTTTCATTCCCACAAAACCAGTGTTATTTTAAAAAAGAAAAAAAAAAGAAATGGAAATCTGTTTTATATGTAATGTCACAATTGTTGACGTTTTTCAATATAATCATATGTTTGTGAAATTGTTTGTACCTTGCAAACTTATGAACCAAACCATATTGGGTTTTCAAAGTGCCTTTGTATCAGAAAATGTATTTGCCAGCATAGAAATGTTCCATCAAAGGTCATGTGTATTTTTTTTTAATGGGTATTCTGTATTCTGTACAAAATAAGACTCTTGTTAGTAACATATACAGATGTCTTTTTGTGTACTTCAAGCATAGGTTTAGATACAGAAAAATTTGCCTTTTATTGCTCTCTCATCAAAAAATAAAAGGTGTTATTTTGCTTTTTAAATCAAATTCAGTTATTAAATTATTTTGTGGACTGTGTTTTCAAAACTTTGCAGATGCTTCTGTTATACAGACAGGTGTTTTGACTTATGACATCTGCTGAATTTCAAATTTCTAAAAAGCCACTGTGTCTATGATAAACTTTCCTGTATCTCTTTGCTGTTTTTAAAGATTCTCTTAATGAAAGGGAAAAGCATGTAGAGTGAAAGCAGAAAAGGTTGTGACAGTGTTATTTTGCTTTTTCGTTTTTCAAATGCCAAGTCCTATGATTTGTTTTCCTATGCAAGCATTGCAAAAATACAGTTGCTTTCAGGAATCCTAAAGTGGCATTTTACTGAGTTTGAAGTATTGAAGGTATGGAGTAAATGTGCTAATGTAGAATTCCTAACACAAGTATCTTGAAAGTTCATAAATAAATTGATTTCTGGGTTCCTGTTTATTTGAAAAATAAAATTGCAATTTGAGATAAGTGCTCGAATACTCTACTTAAATATTCTCTGTGTTTTATGAAGAAATTGATCTGCATAGATATTTTCCAACTGTACTTTATTTTCTCATAATGTACATTCCTTTTTAACTGAAAGGGAAAAATTTTAAAAAAAATTTTGGTGGGGGGGGATCCCTGCAGGATGGAAATGAATGTTTAGAATGAAGATAAGTAATAAGCACTTTTTCACTGATGTGGCAGAAATCACTGTTGGTTTTTTCTTAAGTTTCAGAGTACCTATTTCCCTATTTCTGACCTACAATTTATGAAATATACTGTAAACTACAGACTACTTGCTTCATGCTTTTCTAAACCACTGCAGATTGCCGTGAACTATTGATAGTCTCCTTTTTCTGCAGATTTTGTAGTATTTTCAAAGTATTTTTACATACTGCCAGGCAGTTCTGAAGCTAAAAATTCCCGTCAACAGAATACTTTTAAGTGAAACAATTGTTAAGATGTTTCAAGAGGGAAATATAAAAGGAAATGTTCTGATAACGGTACTGCTTTTTCACTGTAAGTATAAGTAGTCACTTGGAAGTTTGCATCCACTGCCAAGCCTGAGATACTCTGTAGGTTTTGGCATATTGTGGAAAGTGACAGGTCTGCTTGAAGGCAGGGACTTCGATGTGTGCCTTTAAAAACTAATTATGTGAAACTGTACTGATACTTCGCATACAGAGGTAATATTTGCATTGGCCTGTAAAATTTACCAGTGCACACTGAAGTTCCAGTTCTGCCTTTCACTGAGTCCTCCATTCCAAGTGAGGTTTTCTGTCAAAATATGCATCACTTTAACTTTTACACTCTCAGTACACAAGTGCATGAGTGTGGTTTTTTAGGACATTTGACCAAGATGAAACTCTTTATTTTGCACCTGTTATAAGAGATCTCCAATTCATATCATTTACCAGGTTGGCATTAACATTTATGATTTAATTAAATGTTCTTAAACCTGCGTGTACAACAGGAAAGCAATTTTTTTTCTCACTCTTAGGAAATACTTTTGTCTTCTCAGTGTTCTTGGCACAGATGTACTGCTAAAGTAGATAATTTCACTGAGAAATACTACTTGATTATTCTCATAAAATACATTTAGAATGTCTCTATTGGGGATTCTAATGTTGGGCTAATTTGGGGGGAAAACATCTGGGATATAATTTTGCTAATATTTTAAGAACCAAAATATAGTCAGGAGAACAAATTTGTATTGCTCAGGGAATGTTTACCTTGCCAAGTAAACTTCCCCAAATGGAAATATACCTAGACTAGTTTTGTGTTTTTACATCTGAGAACACATTGATGGAGATGAAGGCCTTAACCTATTCACAGCTCCCTTATTTTGCTGGCTCTTGTGTGCTTTGTTGAAAGACAGTATCTAGTTTATCTGTAGCTCAGTGTTCCTCATACGTCCCCACAGCCTCTTCTGCAGAGACATGAGGAAGTGGAAACAGATGTAACTGGCATTTCCCTTATACCTGGAATGCTCCAGCATTCTTCAAAGCCTGTTTGTATACACCAGTGGCCAAAATACTGTGACTTTTGTGCACCTTTGTTAAACAGCCAAATCACTGACTCCAGATGCAGTTGATCAGAGTTCTAATATTTTTTTTAACCTCCTACGGAATAATCAATATGGTAGCATCCTCTAACATAATTCTGGGGCTTAAGAATAAAAATAATTCATCGCTGAACATAGAATTTTAGACTTTTACATCCAAGGAGACTGTCTGTAGAAGCAGTCTTGTTCTACCTCTCGTTTTGCAGATGAGAAAACGGAAGCCCAGAAATGCTGTCATTTGCTCAAGGTCACAGAGATAATTATAGTGGCAAAGTCAAGACAAGAATCCAGGTTTTCTGACTCCAAGTCAAGAGTTCTTTCTACTCTTCTGTACTGTGTCTCCAGTGTAATAATATTTGCCTTTATGTAAATGTGATGAAGAAGCATTTTTAAATAAAAAGACATCTGACCTCCATTTTTGGTACATTAAGGCACTTTATAAATGGAGTTTTACTGTATTATTTTTCATAGCTAATTATGAGGTTTAGAATATTATTTCCATAGTATTCTTTATGAAAGATATAATTAATTTTTTACTCTTTTTTACTTTTCTACTCTTGTGTAACCAGTTCCTGATTTTTTTGTTTTTTAATAGTGACATCTCTGCATTGGATACTTTTAACTTGTGAGTAAATTTTTCTGTTTATTGCCCAAGACTAAATCCAATTTAAGGCCTGCTTAGTTTATTTTGATTATGTTCTGTGAATTGATACTTTTTAGAAACAAAGCTAATTCACAGGTCATATCAGTTCATTCTTGTTACTTTAAGTTTTCAGTCACTGGAGGGATCTTGAATTCTTAACATTATTCTCAGAGCCACACAAAATTGGGCATTAAATATTGTATAGAACAAAACAAAAATTTCAACAGGGTAGAATTTTGAAGTCTTACAGAGAATCCCAAATGTTAAATTGCAACTTTCAACTCTTCATTAAAAGCATTACCTTGAGAAAGTTAAACTTTGTTTTTCTTTTTGTCACTGTCTTGAAAACAAATTATTTTCCAATTCACAAGAACTTTGGCAAAAAAAAAAAAAGATTTTATTCTTCAAAGAACATTCAATAAAAGTTTTATTCAGAGAAGAAGATTGTTTGAAGACATGATCCCCCAAAAGTCTTCATGATCTAGATCTCTACCACAGAATCAAGACAATGAAAAATTATGTATTAAAAAAATATTTGCAGATATAGTTTTATTTAGTATAAATCAATGTGTCTTTGATGAGGGTGTCTTTGGTTTATGTTTAACCATTTCCTAACTACAAATTATACAGAAAGAACACCCTTTTATTAAGTATTTATGTATCAGGCTCTTTGGCCTTTTTCATGTTATCACATGTAAAATCCTTACATTTTCATTTAAAAAAAAAGAATATTGCATGATATTGATTGATAGACTTTTTTCAAATATATTTTATCTTCTGATTCTCCTAATATGCTTATGAGGAAGAAATTCATGACTCCATTTTACAGATGAGGAAGCTGTTTTGAGAGAATGTAAATGAACTGACGGGAATGGCCAGTAGTAGAGCACTGATTCCAGATCAAGTACTTTTTGGTGACAACTACTCTGTTTTTTGTATGTCATTCTGTAGTGATTTAAAGATCCAGGAAGTTATATCAGATTTAAATACACTCTCCTATAAAATTATGAGGCTTCCCAGGTGGCTCAGTGGTAAAAAATCTGCCTGCCAAGCAAGAGATGCAGGTTTGATCCCTCGGTTGGGAAATTCCCTTTGGAAGGAACTGGCAACCCACTCCAGCATTTTTGCCTGGGTAATCGCATGGAGAGAGGAGCCTGGTGGGTTACAGACCATGGGGCCGCAGAGTTGGACACGACTGAGCGACTAAGCACAGCACATAACGTTTGTTTAGACTCAGTCCTTTGGATCCTCTCCTACGCTCACTACCTTTGCCATTTAACTTAAACTCTGCAGACTAAAATGAACAATCAGAGCTCCTTTAAGCACTTTTAAGATCATTTTTTCGAAAAATGTAAAATGTTTTCTTGACATAGAGTTAACTGCTTAAAAGAGACTGACTCAAGTGTCAGCACCAGTGTGAGTGAAGAGAAACACCTCCTGGCCAAGAGACATTAAATTAATGGGTAGGAAGTTGTCTTCTAAGAAGTACAGATGATTTTGCACTTCATGAGAGGGATGTGTATAATTTGATTTACATTACATTTTATAGACTTTATAGCTCTTCAAAAGGAAGAAATATATTTCATAATTAGTGTTAATCTATGCTTAAACTTAATATTTAACTGTGAACTCTTCCCATGGCTTTGGAAAGTTTAATATTTGTAACTTTGATCATGGTAGAAAGTCTGTAAAAAAAGAATGTCTTTGTCTCATACATCCTATTACCACCAAATTTAGCATGAATTTACACTTACATGCTCAGTAAATGTTTGGTTAACCACTGAGTAACTATTGTAGTCAGCAGTGGATACACAAGTAAGGTAAAACCAGTAATTTACTATTTATTACAGAAGACATCTTAGCTTTTCTTTGGCATTTTTGCACAGATAAGTGACTTTATATTCACTATGGCCATTTTTTTTTAAAAAGTCACCCTGTAAGCTACTCCTTCATTTTAATAGAGGAACAGTGGGAATATAGAGATGTTTTCCATTTTGCACGCTGTGTTTGGACAGCAATTTGGTAGAACTGGGACAGTGGAACCTGGATCACCTGAGTTTTTATATTTTGTGTATTTTGAATGAGAAACCACAGTCTCTCTTTTTGTAGGAAATTGCCATATTCCTATTATCCAATACTTTAAGGGCCTGTGTATAACATTCTATTTCATTTATCCCAGATGCATTTTCATCCAAAACTCTTTCAAAGGTCTATCTTGAAATCAACACTACATGTATTCATTGATTTAAATATTCCTAAGGTAGTTTATATCTTCTCTTTTTTCCCCTCTAAATACTAAATTTTAGTAGACTTTCTATTTCTTATTTTCTGTCTCTTTTCATTACTGCTGCCAATGCAAAACTTCTCTTTCACTGGCAAAAAAAAAAATCTTTGTTTTGAATGTTAGTATTTGAATTTTATGTATCATATGTCAATTACACTCAGTATTCCATTTTGAACTAGACATATCCTGTCAAGAGCTTGTCATGTAGTCTCATCACTTCCTCTAACAGTAACAAATTGAGTGATATATCTGCCTAAGTGATATTTTGCCCCAACATTTGTGAGTCTGATCAACAAACAGAATGAGTCTTCTGTATCAGAAATACTGTGAGTGAAAAGCTGCCAAACCCCTTCTTGGTATAGTTTAAATACCCCTGCAACACTTTACCCCCCTGTCTTTAATGGTTTAAACATATGGCCACGTTTGATTTGGGTTTGATTTCTTTGGTGAAGAGTACACCATCAAAACTTTTCTAAATAAACATTTGAGCACAAGGCTAGGTTGGAATGTCAAAGACTATATTGTAATTGGTTTGAATATACTAGAGTGAGCAATTATGATTTGCCTAAGAACAACATAAATTCCAAATGTGTATTTCACTTTTTTCTACTTGAAGACATTCATGTATTTTGTTTAACCTCAGATGTATTTAAAAAGAATAATAAGTGATTGTTATCAAAATTCTTCCAATAAAATTTCTGTTAAAAAGTTTTCACCTGAATTGTCTATTCGTTTGATGAAGCTCCAATTCTCTGGCCACCTGGTGTGGAGTTGACTCACTGGAAAAGACCCTGATGCTGGGAAAGATTGAGGGCAGGAGGAGAAGGGGACAACGGAGGATGACATAGTTACATGGCATCATCAACTCAATGGACATGAGTTTGAGCAAACTCTGAGAGATGAAGGACAGGGAAGCCTGGTGTACTGCAGCCCAAGGGGTTGCAAAGAGTTGGACACGACTAAGTGACTAAACAACAACAACCTGAATTGTCTATTAGTTTGATGAACAGAAAAGACCACTGTGAATCTAAGTTACTGGAACAGATTCTGGAGGACTTACGGAATGTAAGGGGAAGAATGACTTTTAGGGCCCAGGAACAGCAAAACTGATCAGGAGAGAGGAGATGGTAGGAGACTTGGAAATGTCTCAACACTGAAGATCCTCACTGTAAATTGTCTTACTCATTATTTTATCTCATAGACAAATCTCAAAGTATCTCCAGATATTTAACCTCAAATTATTGTCTTACCTTGTTCTCTATCATCTCAGCTCACAGGAAATGAAGACCACCAATATCCATTATCCTTCCAAATTTTTTCCTCTATAATCAAGAAATTCTTTTTTAAAATAACTTCTTTGCAAAACCCCAGATCCCACTCATCCCATCTTCTCAAACATACTCTTATCAAAGCAGTCTCTTCCTTACCATCAACCTGTGCTATACGATGAGGGGTTTATCCTCAGTGTGTGTGTGGTCAGCTATCTCACGTGTGGCCTACGTGCACTTCTTGCTCTCTAACTGTAGCACTTAGTAATACAGCTTCACTCCTCCCTCCCTAGCTTGTAGAGTTAATCAAAAGCCATCAGTGGCTTACTTCTTGTCACGCCATGGCAGAACTACCAGCATCTCTAATTTTACTTTTCCCACTCAAATCTCTTTTCAACTCCCATTTCTGTTCAGAATTCCTTCAAGAATTCTTAGAAATCTAAATATTGCCTTTGCCACCTCCCATATCCTGAACCCCCTATCAAAAAGTCCTGCATTTATTGGAAATCTTTTAAACTCACCTTTCCATTCCCATTGCCCTGTCTAGTACTTCATTGCTGTGTTCAGAGTCACAATGTGGAATTGTCTGACTTCTCACCTATTCAATGCCCAACTCTAGCCACCTCCATTTCAGCACCCACCCTCACACACCCTCAACACAACACAAAAACAATTCTGGCCTTAGCCAGGAAGTACAAAGAATTTCTGCTGAATCAGACTCCTATCTAAGTTCTTTTCAAACATGTCCCCTATCCTAGTTTCCTGACTACCTTCTGCTGGCCCTTTTGCATAGAGGACTTTGACCTCCTAGAGCTGAAGCACCTGCCCTGCCTTTCCTGTGCTCTCCAATCAGCCTCTGGCCTCAGGGAAGTCTACAGTGGTTAACAGTTCACTACCCAGTCTTTTGAGTTTTTGCTTCCTTCCCCCAGAAGCCAACCTGTGTTATACTAACGAAGTAAGCTTCCCAGTTGCCACTTTTAATTCCTTCAGCTCAGGAATCTTGAGTGGCTCTCTTAAATGCTCATCAAGCAACTTGTGATACTTTTATTTCCCTCTTTATTCAATCTCATTACTCATGATACAGAATAAGCAAACTTTGCATTACTCTAGACCATGGAAACAGCAAAGAAAGGGAGAAGAAGCAAGCAGGTTTAACAGATTAGACAGAAAGACAGTAATTTACTATTTTTCATTCTGCATGAAAAAGAGAAAAAGACAACACTACTTTAACAGGATTCTAGCTCATTCGAATACTCTGTCAGCTCATCCAGCTCTACTACACTTTAAAGATAATTTACCATGAAGTCCAGGCTTTAATAAAATCCTATAACCAACAGGAGTAATAACAGCATGACTACTCATCTGGCACAGTTTAAGCATCAAAATTTATTGAAAAAATGGGTTATGCTTTTAATATGAAGTTTAGCACCTCTTTGAAAAATAGTTCTATATGGATTGCCAAAGTGAACTGTATTCTTTGTAGGGCATTCACTGCTAAAGCCAGAAGAAAAACAAAATCATATGAAAACAAAAGCATTCCCCAAAATATTTCCTGACTTTAGGAGGTCAGGAAAGCATAGGTACAGTTTCAGAGCAATTAGAACCCTGCCATTTGACCTGGACTTTTGAAAACATTGCAACTGCTTCTAAAACTATAATAAGGTCTATCTGATTAGCCATTAGGGTGTTTTTCTACTCTAAGCATTGTTAGATCAGATTGTTGTTCAAGTTCACAGGGGTTATCTGTCCCGTATGTGCATCATACTACTTCCCCTTGAGCAATAATTTGTACACAGTTCATATTGATTTCCTCAGAACTTCAAAACAAGACAAAGTCACTACATTTGTAGTTAAATCAGAACAAAGACTTCCCATTGGCTTGCAAAGAAAACCTGGTAGTGGTGGCCACCAACTAAGGAAATCCTCAAGAACTACAACTGAGAGAAGAATTTTTCTGTTTGATAAGAGTTATGATTTCAAAAGGGCAGTGTATACCCCTGTTGCTGTTTTCCTCTGTCCGCCTCTGCACATGGGTCAGAACGTAAGCCCAATCATGAAAGAGTCACAGAGCAACAGAGTAAACAGAACTCCCAGTTTCTGAACAGAGCACCAAAAAAAAAAAAAAAAAGGAACCTAGGGAACCAGGAAGTAGTGAGATCATGAAGAGGAGCTCAGGAAAGCAACCTTGAAAAGTCGATTATCAACCCCAAGTTTCACACTCAGTAAGGCTTGTATCTGATCCTTCCTACCTGGCATACCAAAAGACCTTCAGGACTAAATTATCCAACTGCCTAGGTCCCAGCCTGGGTCACATAAACTTGAGATAGATCAAAAAAAAACAGCAGTCCTTGAAAACCCAACTGACACTGGAACCTCAGCCCATAGAAGGTGGACTAGTAATTGCATCCTGCACCTAACCAGGTTCCTTGCCCGCTAAAACACAAACCACAGAATCGAAACAAGAACCAGAATCTCATAATATTCAAAATATTTAAGCTACAATCCTAATTGGCAAAGTGCCATGAAAATTTCAACGTCCAGATGAAAAACAATCAACAGATACCAAGGCTGAGATGATACCAAAGTTGGAATTATTGGGCAAAAAGTTTGAAGCAACTATTACAAAAATGCTTATCCAAGTAATCACTTATCTTGCAATAAATATTAAAACAGAAAACTGAAGATATAAAAGGAACCAAATGGAAATTTTAAAACAGTATCCAAAATTAAAACACAAAATCAAGTCAACAGCAGAATGGAGAAGACAGAGAAGTCAGTGAACTTGAAAATATATCAATAAAAATAATCCATACTAATTAACAGAAAATAGATTTTAAAAAAAATGAACAGAGTTCAGAGACCTGTCGGACAGTAAGAAATGTCTTAACACTTTTGTTATCAGATGCCCGGAAGGAGAGGACTCTACATACAATGAGGAAGCACAAAGTGCTGAAAAAAATATTTGAAGAAACAATGGCTGGTAACTTCCCAAATTTGGTGACATAAATGTAAGATACAGGAAGCTGAGCAAATGCCCAAAAGATAACTGCTAAAATATCCACATAAAATGGAACATGATCAGATAATTACAATAAAAAGTCACAAGCTTTACATAAATGTTGACAAGTTCATTCTAACATTCATATAAAAAAGGCAAAGGAACTAAACTAGATAAATTTTGAAAAAAGAGAAAACTAGAGGAATTACACTAGCTGTTAAGATTTACCATAAAGCTAAAGAAATCAAGACAGTGTGCTATTACAGAAGGGAAAGAGGCAGACCAACAGAATAGCAGAGTTCAGAAATAGATCCACACAAATACGGTCCACACAGTTATGGCAAACTGATTCTGACAACAATACAGAAACAATTCAATAATGATAGTCTTTTTAAACAAACGGTGTTGAAGCAATTGAATATCTCCATGCAAAAAAAGAAAAAAAAAACAGAACTTTCATCTAAAACTCACACTTCATATAAAAATCAACAAAATATACTACAGATAAGTATAAACTACAAAACTGTAAAAAACTTTAGAAGAAAACATGGGATAAAATCTACATGTCCTTAAGTTTGCTTATTGGTTCTTATACAATGTAACAGAAACGTGATCAAGTAAAGTTAACAAACTGGATTTCATCAAAATGAAAATCTTGTGCTTTGCAAAGACATAGTTAAGGGAATAAAAGGACAAGCTACAGATTAGGAGAAAATGTTTACAAACCACAGTCTGACCAAGAACTTATATCCAGGACGCATGTGTGCTAAGTCACTTCAGTCATGTCTGATTCTTGGCGACCCTATGGACTGCAGCCTGCCAGGCTCCTCTGTCCATGAAATTTCCCAGGCAAGAATGCTAGCGTGGGTTACCATGCCCTCCTCCAGGTTATCTTCCTGACCCAGGGATCGAATCTGTGTCTCTTATGTTTTCTGCATTGGCAGGCAGGTTCTTTACCACTAGTGCCACCTGGAAAGCCCTATATCCAAAATAGATAAATAATCAAAATTTAACCATAAGAAAATTCAAATTAAAAATGGGCAGAAGGCATGAACAGATGTTTCATTAAGCAGGGTATAAAAATGGTAAATAAGTACATGAAAAGATGTTAAACATCATTAACCACTAGGAAAATGCAAATTAAAATGATGATGATATATCACAACACACCTATCAGGAGAGCTAAAATAAAAAACTGTCAATATGAAGTGCTGACAAAGAAACAGCAATGGGAACTCTTCCATTGCTTGCAAGAAAGCCAAATGACACAGCCACTCTGGAAATCATTTTGGCAGTTTTTTATAAACTTAAATGTACATTTTACCATATGATGCAGCAGTTGCACCGCTGGGTGTCTACTCTAGAGAAATAAAAATCTACATTCATACAAATACCAGTATGTGAATATTTTAACAACTATCTGTATAACTGCAAAAATGGAAAAA